TGTTACTCTGTCATAGTGCTCCTGTTACTCTGTCATAGTCCTCCTGTTACCCTATCATAGTCCCCCTGTTACTCTGTCATAGTCCTCCTGTTACTCTATCATAGTCCTCCTGTTACTCTGTCATAGTCCTCCTATTACTCTATCATAGTCCTCCTGTTACTCTATCTTAGTCCTCCTATTATTCTATCATAGTCCTCCTGTTACTCTATCATAATCCCCCTGTTTCTTTGTCATAATCCCCCTGTTACTGTTATATTCTTCCTGTTCCCTCTGTCATAGTGCTCCTGTTACTCTATCATAGTCCTCCTGTTACTTTATCATAGCTCTTCATACTCTATCATAGTCTTTTTACTCTGTAATATTCCTCCTCATATCCTATCATAGCCCACATATTCAATCATATTCCATCACTATCTGAATTTAACCATCACTTTGACATATTATAACTCCATTGTTCAATTAATACAGTCCTCCTCCATCACGACCACTGCCTTTCCCTTAAACTGCCACAGCTCCCTCTTACTCTATCATACCCCCTTGTTCTATCATTGCTTTGCCTTATTCTACTTGTTCTAGAATAGCACTTGGTCATTTCTCTTACGTTGAGACTCACAAAATGAACTATGCAGTTCATTGTGTGTCAGTGTGTTCATTGTCAATTTTTACCAATTAGAATAAAAATTCTAAGATGTCAAGGTGCTAGTCCTTCAATTCATAGCAACTTTATTTGTATCATATAGACCTGTAAATGGTCCACTGTAATCAGTTCAGAAATATCTGCTGAATGCATGAGTTAGGAGGCAAACAAGCAATTGTCACTTGACTCTTTCTTGTCCTTTTCTTCTTTTCCTTAGTCCTACCTGATCAACTCTGACTTACGCTGTGCTCTCTGTTTGGTTGCATGGTATCCTATCATGCTCTAGAAACTCTCCTTCCACACTCAGATCCTGCTTTCCGGCTCTTTGGGACATCTGTCTGATAATATCAGCTGTTCAGTGGCTCAGCCTTCCCTCACTCAATTCATCTCTCCTTAGCAGCTATAGCCAGAAGGACTGAATCAAACCTAATGCAAGTATTCCAATGAGGAAATCTCAAAATGTAAAAGAAGACATGATTAAAAGATATGAGAAACTTTAAAATAGCTCTCAGGTCAGGAAATGATGAGCACAACTTAAATTTTACTTCAAAACAAAGCAAGCTAGAAAGGTCCTAGAGAATTAAAGTAATGACCTTGGAAGATATTTTATAGGAGATTTGATTTTTCTTTTATATTGTATTTATTTATTTTCTTTTAAACAATAAATATAATTACATCACTTTTCCCTTCTTTTTTCTTCCTCAAACCCCTGTCATGGATGTCCCTTTGCTCCCTTAAAATCATAGTGTCTTTTATCTGTCACTATTACACAAACAGACAAACACTGACACAGACACATAGACAGACACACACACATGTACACACTCACACCATCAAGTGCTCATATGCACACATCTGCCTAAATATATAAATACAGTCTATTAAGTCTTTTGAGTGTTACTCCTAGTATATAGTTTCAGGACTTGTCATTTGATCTTGGTAACCAGTTAGGGGTTCAATCCTGTGTAGAACTGTTTCCACTCTCAGACTGTTTCAACTCTTTAGTTGACTGTAGTGGCTTCTCTATGGGTAGGACTTCATGAGATTTTCCATTTCCATGTTAACAAGTCTATTGATGTTTTACTTCTTCAGGTCTCATTTAGATACAGAGAACAAGTGAGGTATCCAGTCACAACTGATACATTTACAGCATGCCTCCTTCAGTTAAGGCTCAGGGAACAGCAAGGAAAAGTGAGTAGGAAGAGTGAAAGAGACAGAGGACCAGGAAAGCTGTGGTGAAACTGTGTCTCCTAGAAATGAGAGGAAACCACACTCTGGAGATTTTATTTTAAAAACATATGCTTAAAGGTTACTGTACTGGCCAGTGGACCAGTCAAACAATCTTTCCATTACTCTCTCTGCTGCGACTGTAAGATTCTCCCCACACTCACTGAGTACCTCAGTATGCAGCACTAATTTCACGGTAGTTCTTACTGTTGAAGTACACCATAGATTTGTACATGTGTGTCAACAGAAGAAGCACATAATATCCATAAATAAATATATTTTCTAACATTCATGAAAAGGCCAAGCATACTGCTTTTGGGAATTGTAACTCTTTCAAGAGTAATTCAAATTTCATGGTACATCTTCTTGTTCACACCATTGGACCTTCTCTGCCAGGGCCCCAGGCAATTGGGTTGGACTCAGTATAAAAGAACCAGAGCCCACACAAGTCTACCATATTTCCCCCAGGAACTCTGTCTGCAAGTTCTCAGTCTCCATTGTCTGACTCAGCCAGATTGACTCAGTTCCAGTATGGCTCTGTCTCTTCTGAACAACTCCAGTCCTTCACCTTACAGATTCAACTCAAGACTCAGGATCAGTGGGCTAAAACTCACATCAAAGATACAACCAACTTAACTCTAGATGGGTGGTTCAATAGGAAAAACAGAATAATAACATCCAAGAAAATATGTACCCCTCCACAAAATCCAACATATTGTCATGGTACCCAATGAGTAAGATGAAACTGGAGACTTGAATCAGAAAATAACTATGAATATGGCAAAAAATTCTTGAATTTCCAAAAAACATCCCCAAAAGCCAATGGTAGATAAAAATGAAATCCTGAGTAGTTCACTAAAACACAAGTAAATGGTTTAACGAAATAATGTGGACTATTCAGGATATAAAAACTTAATTCAATAGGGAACTGAAAATGCTGAATATCAGGGTTGTTTGATAATTAATTATATTATTAATTATATTATTCTATATCACTTAAAATTTTACATATTTACATATAAAATATTAAAAAGTTTACACATGCTTACATATATTTATAATATATACATATATTTTAAAGAAATACATTTTATTTTAATAAAATATATAGTAATAAGATATTAATATGATAATATATAAATCTCTGTAAAATAATAATGCATATATTTTTTATATATAAATATATCCCCATCTTAAAGGAAGTTAAGCCACTTGGGCTGACAGAACTCCAACAAGAAGCATAGAATAACAAAAGCAACAATACCAGTCATAAAGAACCTCTTTTTTGAGTGGTTGATCAGGTGACTCCCAAAACAACACAGATTGTTGATGTAGTCTTTTATTGCTTCTCAGGGTTTAAGTCCCTATTGCTAAAGACACTCCATACCTAGGACACAGGACTTGGATTACTGTGCCTGGTTCTTTCATGTGTTCTATCTTCCAGGGTTTCAGAAAGTATTAAGCAATCTGCCAAGGGACAAGGGATGAACAATAAACTGACCTATCCAGGTATAAAACCTATGAACTATGGCAATTACTAGTATGGCAAAATAGCCATAAGGGTATAAAAGTGGCACTCACAGGTTGCTGACCTCCAATAGTCTTTAGTGACAATCTCAAAAGATAAAAGACACTTGAGCAATTTATTTCAAGTCCTAAAAGACTATGAATGTACTCATAACCATATTGAAAGCAGTCCTAAGAGGATATTTATACCACTAAATATTTTCTCTCTCATTTGTGAATGTTAGCTTTGAATATTATAAATGTGTGTTTTGTTTGAAGTCCATAAATACTGGGAAATACTCAGGGGCTATGATGGGCTAGTGTGGACGGGAGGGGAGATTTCAAAGAAAGGCAGAAAGAAGTGTCAGTACAAGTGTTAAAACACAATTATAAAACAGGAAGGATTAATGATTAAGTGGAGAAGGAGACAAGATAGTGGAGGGTTTTCTTCATGGGAAATTGCTACTAAAGACTGAAAAAGCCTTTTTCTTTAGTTCTGTAGAACTTTTTCCAAAATATGCCTAAG